AGCTCTTCAGGGAGAATGAGGCTGAAGGCGGTGGTCCTACCTGGTTCCCCATGTTCTCCCCATCTCTCTCCTCCTGCCCCCCCCATCCTGGCCCCACACTCCCCACCATGCCCCCAACCTTCCAAGGCTCTGGCAGAAGGCAGGAAAGAATTTATAAAGGGGGCCTGTTCCCCTTACCCAGGTCATTTCAAGGATGTCGAAGCCACAAAACCCACTGGAAACACAAGGCGCTCCCCCAGGAGGAGCCACCTCCTCGCCAGAGTGGGTTCTTTGATCTGTGTGTGCCTTCACCATCCCCAGGGGATTAGAGCTTCCTTTCTAATTCTGTCTCTTCCTTCCTCCTCTCTTTGTCATAATAACTTAAAAAACTGAATTAGCTTGCATCATTCCAGGCCTCCCCCAGGGCCTCTGGAGGTCTGCCTGACCCTCAGCACCCCCTCCTGAGCCCTCTCCCAGCCAGCCTGAGTGCAGCCAGAGACCAATCTCCAGAGGGGGACCCCAAAATTCAACGTCTCAAAGGAAGGGTCCCAATGTGCCCTCCAGGACTGAGCACCTCCAGCCCCTGCCCTCAAGCATCCTTTACCCTGTAGGCCTGCAGGCCCTCATGGGGCACCTTCCCTGGCTCCCCCTCAGCCTGTCACATGGCGCCTGACTCACTGTCACCCAGGTCTGCGTCCTGCCACTTCCCACTGAGGTCAACCCCCTCACCAGGCAGCTCTAGGCTGACATTCACCCTCCACTTGAACTCACCCAACAAAGGCCGGAGCCCCTGCTGTGCCCCAGGGAAAGGTCAGGGAGCAAACAGACCAGGAGCCAAGCTGCTGTGGAGCTTGTGCTGTGAAAATACTGCAACACTTCCCTTGGGTGGTGAACATTTAACAACACCCTGCTCTTCCCTGCCCCCCTCCCCAGGACCCAGCAATCAAAGGGTTAATTTCAGGCACAGCTTATGGGCCCCAACCCAGCCCAGCCCCTGGCCCCACATCCATCCTGGTTAGTAAGGGCTGGTGCCAGACTGTCCTTAAATATTGTCATCCTCACCCTGGACAGGGCATCTGCCGTCCCCTCTGTGAGGATGACATGAGAGCTTCTCTGTGAGAGTTCCCACTGGCCCCCTCCCTCCCTCCCTTCCTTCCTTCTCTTCCCCCATTTCATTCCTTTCCTCCTTCCTTCCTTCTTTCTTCCCTCCCTCTATTCCTTCCTTCCTACCTGTTTGAGGCCTCTCCTTCCCAGCACCTCTCCTGACCCTCAGCTCTGATACAGATCTGAGAGGCTCACCAGCCCCCCTCCCCCTCTCCCAGCCAGGGCCACCCTGACAGCAGTTGGCACCTCCCAGATCCCAAGGGCCGGGAAGTCCAGAGGCCAGACTCCAAGAGCACCAGACACTACCCTCCTCATTTCCCCCTAACAGACAGCGATAGCCCGGTCCCCTCTCTGCTCACGTGCCCCCACTCCCCTGACTGCCCTGTCCATAGAGGGCAGGCCCAGGGCTGGAGACTGCTGGCCTGTCCCCCTCCCAGGGTTTGTGGAAAGGGAAAAGGAAGGGGGGCCACATCCCTACTAGTGCAGCCTGAAGCTGGAGAGCAATTAACTTGGCGTTTCCAACAAGGGCAGAGGAAGCGGGAGCCACAGGACTGAGTCAGCACATCAGAGAGGCGGGTGCCAAGCGGCTGGCTCAGCTCGTTAGCGAGACAGGGTTGAGCCAACGAGAAACAAGGTCAGGGAGAAGGGGGTGGGGGCCTCTAAATGGAGATGGGGGGCAAGTCAGAAAGATGGCTGCAGGCTCTTCCACCTCCCCTACCCTGCAGCTGCCAAGGCCAGAAGACCAGCCCTCGGATCTCATTCTCCCCCAGGCAGCTCCTGCCCACCATCCACAGATCAGCAAATACTCTCCATGTACTGTTTGTACTCCATGACTGGGAGTAAGGGAGATAGACACCCCTCCTCTGCCAAGCACACATATACATCCCAGGCCTCGGGGATGGCATGATCAAGGGCCTGAGGCCAAGAAGCAGCACAGGGCTGGAAAGAACGGCGGAGGGGGCTCTGGTGGCCCGGGAGACTTCATGGAGGAGGTGGACTTTTTAGTAGCTACATTTAAAATAAGGTCTGCACACACTGCCTTTTTCCAAAAAGGAAACAAAGCCACTGAATCCAGCCATCTGCTGAGTACTTTGCCAGGTGCCAGGGACACTACCCACATCACCTACGATCCTCACATCCGCCTGGAAGATTCCTCTCGCCTAGGAGGAAGCAGAGGCCAGAGCTTGCATGACTCGCCCAAGCGCATACAGAAAAGGGCAGAGCGGAGATTTACACTTGGATTCATCAACTCCAGGAGCTGTGTTCTTCCTGACCCAGCGCTCCTGTGGGTAGGACTCAGCTAGGCTGAGAACAAAGGAAGGTACTGGAGCAAAGGCCCAAATGTGAATGAATGAATAAAATGAGTTGTAAGAAGCAACCAGGCTGTCAGCCAGGCAGGAAGTGGGGCTGTGCGTGTGTGATGGTTCATTTTGTGTCAACCTGACTGGGCCAAGGGATGCCGGCTGGCAAACCATCGTTTTTGGGTGCGTCTGTGCGGCTGCCTCTGGAAGAGATGAGCATCTGAATCGCTAGACTAAGTGAAGAAGATTACCGCACCAATATGGGTGAAGCTGAGCTTCAACCAGTCTGTTGAGGGCCTGAACAGAACAAATAGGCAGAGGAAGGGCATATTTGCTCTCTGCTTGAGCTGGGACCTCCATCCCTGCTCCTAGTTCTGGGACCTTCGGACTCAGACCAGGAGTTACACCATTGGCTCCCTAGTTCTCTCCCCTTCTAACTTGAACTCAGTTACACCACTGGCCCTCCTGGCTCTCCAGGTTGCTTACTGCAGATCACAGGACATCTTGGCCTCTGTAACTACATGAGCCAATACGTGTGATAATCAGCCAGAGCGCCATATCCTATTGGCCTGTTTCTCTGGAGAACCTCAACTGATACAGCATTCCCAGACAGGGTATTGCTCTCAGAATTACTGACATTGCCCTGTGGGTGTGCCATAACGTGGGGGGATCTCTAAGCCACCCAGCGAGGTATCCTTGCAGACAGGAGCCAGTAAAATGACCAGAACACCACACCGGACCATATCATGATGCCAACTCTACTGGCCTTGATTAATCTTGACCCTTGAGAAAGGGGCTATTTCCAAGAGGCTGTGTGTGGTTCTCTCTGGTCCTGATGCTCCTGCTCTTTTCGGGGCAAGGAAGGTTTAGGGAGAAGGCTCAGGGACCAGAGCCTGATGGTCAAGAACTGGGTAAAATCTGGAGTCAGCAGGCCACAGCCATGCTGGCCATGAGATGCAGGGTCCCAGGTGGGTGGAGGAGCAGGAGCAGGCAGGAAGGGGATCTGCTGCTCGGTTGAAGTCCTGCCCTGAATCTCCCAACAGCATCCAGCTGAGAAGCGCTGCCGTTCCCGGCCTTGCAGCAGGGCTGGAGCCGCCCTGCTCTACCACTTTCCCTAGTCCCACGACATGACCTGTCCCCACACCCCCATCTCTCCTGATCTAAATGTGGATAGGTTTTCCCTTTTCTTCATATTCTGCCCAGGTGAGGTTAGAACACTCTGAGAAAGACTTTTATTAGAACACATGGGGCAGAGAAACACAACCATGCAAGGGACAAGTGCTCTGAGCACGTGTTGAATGATAAAAGCACTCCACGGGATGTCACCAGAGTGAACCCCTGGCTGCGTCCCCAGTGCCTGGAATTGTGCTCAGTGCACTGCGGGTGCTTAGCACACCTCTGCTGGGGGAGTACGTGGATGGAGGGATGAGTGCGTCAGGTGAACATCCTGCCGGATGCTAAGCACGCCCCTCCTCTTCACTGAAGCTCATCTTTCTCACTCCCAGCTCCACACCTCACTAACCTGATGACCCACTGCTGCCCTCCACCTGACTTACAAACCAGCCTCGCCGTGTACCCACCTGCTCTCCCACCAGACTCCTCCATCCACCACTTCCACCCCACTCTGCACACCTCCCACCCCAGTCACCTCACTGACCATGCCGCCATCTGCTGTGGTCTGAGCAGTAACTGGCATTTGCTATGTGCCTGGCACAGCGCTGGGCCCTCTATCTGCTTCCTACATGCTGTATGCAGGTACTAAGAACACCCAGCCTAGAGATGAAGAAACTGAGGATGGGAGAGGCCCAAGGTCACACAGCTGGTAAATACAAGAGTCAGGATTCAGACCCTTAATTGTTTCCAAAACCCATGCTTTCTGCCACTAAGAGTAGTGATGGTGGACCTCTGACCCCACCTCCTAAGATCTTCACTAATCATCAAACTCAAGAATATCAACAGCACTGCATTTGCCCCAAAGGCACTTGTTCAATAAATACTGAGCACCTGCCATGTGTTCCGCAGATGCATGAAGGATGGGCATCAGACCCCCTTCCCTGGAATCATCATGGTCCTTGAAGTGGACACCACCTTGCCTGAGGTGAGTGGTCCCTGACTGGGGGACCTTCCATCTACAACGCTGGATTCTGAGCATCAAGCAGTCTGGGGAAACTTCCCTCTTATTTGGTTTTCCCGATGCCCACCTCGGGCGGCCTGCACTTCCTGGCTTGCCTGCAAAGTTCACCTGCCCACCAGGTCCGGTGCACCAAGAACAATCAAACACAGGTGACCCTGCTTCCCCGGGGGGCTCTCCAATAAGTCATCATCCAGGTATCCCCGAGGGAAGAGACGTTCTGGACGTTCTGGAGTCCTGACACTACACTCTTGGCAACAGTAAAAACACTTTACTCACTTTCGCAGTGAAAGACACCATCTCCACCAAGACAAAACCACACGATTTCCTGAGAAAAGTGCCCAGCAGGTGAGGGTCAGAGATGAGCAAGTCACTCCCCCGGAAGGGGAAAACTGTTCTACATGTAAAGTTCCTGTGTGACTACTGGTCCACCTCTCACTTTGGAGACAAGGACACCTCACACCCGTCAGAGAAGGCTGGAGACTTGCCCCACCTCCAGGGGCAAGGATGGAGCCAGGATGTGGACCCAGTTTCTCTGGCTCCCTTATTACCATGTGCTTAGAGTTACAGGGATCAGGACGGTGTGGGGCCTGGGGCAGGGCAGGGTGAGGCCAACCTGAAGGCCACCCAAGACATCCTGGTCAGTGTTGTCCTAGCCCCAGGAACTTTCCAAAGAATGTTGCTGCCACCCATGGGGCTTGTCTGCATATGTGTGGCGTGGTGGGGGTCCCCATATGCCCCAGGAGTCAAAGGTTTTCATCTGAAGAAGGGGTCTTTTCTTGGCCAATGCAGAGGCCAGGGGGGTGAGGGCACCCAGATTGTCTCAAGAGGCTCAGAGTCTTGAGTATCAGGGTCCTAGGAACCAAGTGGTCACCTGCACCCAGGACAGGAAGACGGGCAAGAGCACGTGCTACCTTCCCTCCCCACCCTCCGCCCCTGCCAGGACGGCTGTCTTCTGCTCCAGCCCAGTAAGGGCAGTCTCTCATTGTAACTTCAGAGGAATCTCCCAAATGTCATGCCATCGCCGCCTTTGCCCTCGCACTCCAGCTGCCAGGTCTGAGCTCTTCTTCAAGCACCTCTCCCTCCTGACAGCCCTGAGCCTCCTCTTCCTCACTTCCTCCTTCCCTGTCACAGCCATTTCCAATCGGACCGCACATTTAAGACCCAATTCAAAATTCGCCTTCTCCACTGCCATCCTTCTCCCAGCTCTGCCCCACCAGAGCCTCCCCCATCACCGTGCCCCTTCCGTGCTCACCTCGCTCACCGTGTGCTGCAGGAACATCTCTACATGACTCTGTCTCCTAACACAGTGCCCAGCACAAAGAAAGCTCAAAACTAATTTTCATTTGAACAAGTGTAATGTGCTCATCATGTTACAGATGAGGAAAAGTGCAGCTGGGAGAGGCTGAGGGGCTTCCTCGAGGTCACAAGCTGCCGATCAGTGCTGGCGGCAGCAGAATCCACAAAAGCGTGGTCCCCACCCTGTCCTCTTTCCCTGACCCCATGCCACCTCTTGCCGCCTGTGCAAATCAAGCCAGGGGCCATGAGCTCAGGATGGGTGACTTGTGATTACCATGTCATATCACACAAACAGAAGAGTATAAATATTTACGTGCTGTGAAAAGAGAAACGATCACCCGTCTGAGTCTCCACCACCCAGGTTAAGACATAAAATGTTATTAGCGCCTTAAAAACCCCCATTTCCCCATCCCTGCCCTCCCCATGACCCTCCCTGTTAACCACCATCCTAACTCTTGTATTAATCATCCCAGCTTTGCTTTATGGTTGGGCCACTTTTATGTGTCTCCCTAATAATGTATTGCCCTTTGCTTACACAGCTGGGTTTGTGCTTGCTGCTCACTTTTTCAAAACTAAACAGGATCTGTGATCTCTTCAATGCTTAACACTATTATGTTCAAGTTCTTCCAATGCAGTGAACTCTGAGCAGATGTCTATTATAAAACCAGGTCACAAAAGCATGTACTGAGTTCTATCAGATAGCACCAGCTCTCTCCTAAAAGCCACTTTATTTTAGGCACTGAATTAATAATGCACAGTAGTGTGGAATTAGCATACGTCTCGAAATTTTTTTTTTAGGAAGGAATTTTGTGTGTATGTGAAAGTCAGCTGCTCAGGCCCTTGTCTAACAGGGCTGTTTGGATCCCAGTTGTCTGACGGCAGGGACCTGCCCTTGCGTTTGGAGGCAGGAAAGAGGCTCCAAGAGGATGTGAGGAGAAGCAGGCTCGGAGGGCCCCCAGACCCCTCTTTGTTTCCCCCCCGGCCAGCCCTCACCATGGTGGCTTTGGCCCACAGTTGCCCTAGCCCAGGGACCCGGTGGCAGACAGAAACAGACCTACTTTGGTTTCCATGGCAACGGCAGGCATCGCGAGGCCAATTGAGTGAGCGGCAGCCAACGAGGCAGCTGGTTTGAAGGGTGTTGATCTCTCTGTGGACCAGCAAGGCAGAACCACCAGGGACCAGAGGCAGCAACCAAGCCAGGAGGAGCCACGGGAGCCGGGCACACAGAGTCTGCAGGGACCTGTCTGCAGAGCTTGCACGTTTATGAATGCATATGTGTGGACGCCCACCCACGACCCTCTCTCACCCACACACTCAGGCAAAGGCACGTGCTGAGAAATGCACTTCCACGCTCCACTGTGAACGCAGACTCACGCTCACAAACTCAGACATCTGTTCACATCAAATATACCCCTATTTTACACCTTGCCCCATTTTCACACCCAGAAATAGGCCCCTCCATACAATGCACATTCATACACATTATATAAGATGGACCCCTAGAAAGATCCATGTTCCCCTCAATGCGCATTCTCTATACACACCCATGTGCACAGATGGTGTACACACTCACCTTAGACACTCACAGACCCACATTTACAGGGAAAAATGCACACCCACACTCACCGGTGTACCTGCAGGGACACTCCCAGCACATACACATGGACTCAGATCAGAGCCCCCGGATGCGAAGACACAGAAGCTGAGGAGCCCAAACTTCCTGAAACAACTCAAATGAAATGTAGTTCCAATTCAGCGCTGCATCAGCAGCACAAAATCCCATCACAACTCTCCTGGCTTGCTGCCTCATGAACGGTGCCCCCCACAGAGGAAGGCCTTTAATCTTCTGTTTATTTACTCAGAGTAGTTCTTTTTTCTGTCCTCCATAAATACCAAAAGGACAGAAATCCAACAATCCTCGTGTCGTACAGACTTGAAATAAAAAGTTTGATGACAGACTCAGAGATGCGTGTTCCTTTTTAAGACATCTGCACGTGTCCCACTCCATGAAGAGGCTGCCCGTCTCTGGTCAAGCTCGGGTAGGTTCACTGCCCACTGGCCTCAAAAGGCAAGGAGAAAGGCCTGCTTTTTTCTCTCCTAGAAAAAACAGACAAATTCACAGAGTGTGGAGTATCTTGCTAGGCCAGGGGTTAACTCCCGACCTAGTGGGGAAATCTGACAACCATGGCTCCATCCACTGAGGCCCTTGCAAGCCAGAAGTCACAGAGGCACTTGAGGGGAGAGAGGGAACATTGTGCTGAGAATTTCTTGAAGCACATTTGAAGATTTGTGACATTATTTCAATATTGTCCTAATGATCACTTAATTAATGTGGAGAAATGGAAAGATGTACATACATGTGTCTATATTCCTATTGCAATAATAATAATAGCTAACACACAAAAAGGTCAATATATGTTAAGCTATTGTTACTACTGGAATCTTAGATTGATAATGAACTGAAAATTTGAGGGTTGTTGAGATGAACGTCATTTCACAGGATTTTTAAACACTTTTCAGTTTTAGCAGCAGCAGGATTAGCATTGTGTGGGACTTTACAAAACAATTTCACATACACCGTCTCCCTTGTGTCCCTGAGCGTCTCCTGTGGACCAGGCACCAAGGGGGGCGGGCTGGTGCAGGGTAGTCATAGTAAGACTCAGACCCAGGACTTCAGGAGCCCACGATCCAGCAGGGAAGGGGTGGGGGGGCCACACTGGAACTGTGTACCGCGTAGTCTCATGTCATCACAAAGGCCAATGCAAAGTGCATTAAGCACACGGAAGGGATTCATTTATTGATGGGAAAGAATAAGGAAGAAGTGGAGAAACCAAAAAAAAAGCTGCAGGGAGGTCACAGTTGAGCTACGTTGGAACTCACAAGTAAGTTTACACAAGCCAGGTTCCTGGCTGGAAAGGGGCACTGAGGTCCGGGGCACAGCTGCAGAACAGTGCGTGCAGCTAGAGTCCAGGAAGGAACAGGAAGAAATGACTCCACAAAGGTGGACTGAAGCCAGATTCAGAAAGGCCTTGCCCAGCAAACCAAGGAGTTTGGCTCGGGGAATCATTAGGTGTGGGAACCAATCAGATCTGTGCTCCAGAGAAATACCTCAGGTACCTCGGTGTCTGACACAGGGTAATGGCATATGACTGGGAAACTCGGGGCCAAACATTATGGTTAAAACTGCACCCTCACAAGAACAGAGGCAGAGCTCAGGTCTGGACCCCCGCACCTAGCTCGGCGCCTGACCCAGATAAGGCCTCCATAAATGTTTGCTGAACTGCAAGGCGCCGCGGGTCACGCGAGGAAAATGGAATTAAGAGGCCGGTGACCCCGAGGGCTGCTTGAGGCCCATATTGACTGGCTCTGGGACCCTGGACCGGCGATTCAACCTCTGGTTCTCGATTTCCACGCTGGTAGAACAAATCCGACAATGTCCTGACCTCCCTGGCTCAGCTGTTCTGAGGCTCACGTGAGGGAACCAACTGAAGGCGATGGAAAGGCGCGGAGCGCAGGCCCAGGTGGCGGGCCGGCTCCGGGACCACATGCGGGGAGGGAAGGCTCAGCCGTCAGCAATTACCTGCGCCCCAAACCCGACACCTGCTCCACTTCCATTCAGACAGATGGTGCGATCTGGCCGCGCGCCAGCCCGTAGGCCACGCCCCGGGGACGCTCGCGCCTGCGCACGTACGTACGTACGCCCTGCGGCAGGCGGACATAAACGGGGGGGGGGGGTGGGGGGACTCGGGAGGGGGATCTGCGTACGGTTAACCCGACAGTCCCGTCGGTTCGGACCGTAACGTGA